CTTGCCCTTCGTATGAATGGCAAGTATAGAGCTGAGAGGATAGATCAACCCTTATTAATGATTAAGAAAACTCATGGAAATGATGCCACCGGCCATCAAAGAGGATAGGAGAAACTATCTTCATTTGCTCAACCACATTCAAATAAATCCTCAAGTGATAGAATCCATTAAAATTAGACATAAGTACTGGAAAATTTGCATTCATTTCTACATCTTTCCTTTGAGTCTCAGAGGAAGCATCTTGACTTGATAAAATCCTTTCCCAATGTCTTAACCCCATCCTCTCTTTTCCTTTTGAACTGGATGTCATCATTTATTTCCTTCCTTGTGTTTATTAACACTTTCCTATCCCATTTTACTAATCTCAACTTCTATAGAATATCTTATTAAGAATAGCCTATCTTCCTCACCCTGTGTTACTTTCTAGTTCTCACCCTTTTCTTCTTTGCTGGTCAAGATTATAAAAATGGATTATTATTGAAACTCATTTTTTATAGTTATTCACTCTCAAACCACTGAAATTTGCCCTTTACTAAAAGTACTTTCCTTATGGTCCTAGTAGCTACTTTTAAAGAAATATTTAAGGGATACTCATTGGACCTTTTTTCACCTTGAACCTTTTTCTTGGGTATCACAGAAGATCTGTTGATCTCATAAATTCCTGAATTTGCTTTTAATTTGAAACCTGGTTCTACCACTTTCTCTTTGTGGCCTTGGGTAAGTTATGTAAAACCAAGTGTTGGTTGTATTGACCTAGCTAGTGTCTGCCTGCCCCTTTGTGTCAGTCAGGGGACAAACAGGTAATAGAAACAATAGTAAAGACAGTTGTGATGGGTGATTTTAGTTGTCAACTTGACTGTATTGAAGAGTTGTGTAGAACACCTTCTGTGAAAGTGTTTCTGGAGAAGATTAGCATCTGTCAGTGAACTGAGTGTAGAAGACTCATCTTCAATGTGGGCAGAAGCATTCAATCAGCTGGAGCCTGGAAGGAAAAAAAATGTGAAATTGGGAGAAGTTTGCCTATGTGAATGCTCAGCCTTTATGTGTGTACAATTTCATTTTCCTGTTGCTGTTGCTAGTGGGCACTAGGTTCAACATCCTCCAGCCCTCGAACATAAATTTGTACCAGAAGTTCCAGGGGCTTTGGGGCCTTTGGCATTGGATTGGGGTTGCATCACTGATAGCTTTTGCTTGGAGGCTTCCATCCTCTTGGACTGAGCAGTTACTGATTTCCCTGCATCTCCAGTCTCCCATGGCGGACAGTCATTGTGACTACTCAGCTTCTGATTAAATCAATCTCACAGATCCCCTCGTGATTATACAGTCTACAGGTTCTATCCTTCGGAGAATCCTGACCAATACAATCGTCTAATCAAGGAAGTAATACAAGGGATGGTGAAGTATTGGGAAACCATTATCAGAGCTGGGAATGAGCTGGAAACTTGGTAAACTGGGATTTTGGCCATGGAAGAATGCAACTACTGCCAAAACTACAGAGAAACTGAATTGGGAAGAGATAAGCATCCTGATAACTTCTCACTCCTACTATTCTTCACTCTTCTGCTGGTGGTTCTCACTACCCAAACCTAACTGGAAATTGGAAGCACAGTGTAGTCTGGCTGAAGCTCTGGAGGTCCATCTTTTGTGAGATGTACACATGGCAGGGAACAGCAGAGGATGAACTCGGGTGAAAGACAAGCAGAGAATAGGTAGAATAGATGGTATTCTGCCATCTTCTTCATGCACTTAAAAATATTTAGTGTGCTAACTACTCTAAGGAGCCAGGGTACTGGGGATCACAAGACTGGAAAGATACCCCTTTATTTCACTGTGTTTTCATTCTACTAGAGGAGCTGGACAGTAATAGTATAAACATACAATGCAACTTCAGGTAGTGACAAGTGCTATGAAGAAAATAAGCAGTATCACAACTCTGATGTAGATGGGAGTCTTTTAGAAGTCCTGTCTGAGGAGATGACAATAGAATTTAAAATGAATAAGGAGGAGGAAACTAAAATTTCTAAGGCCAAGGGAAGACTGTTAAAGAACAGAGATCAGCAAGGGCAGAGTGAAAACACTCTGTAGGATAGACAAGGAGTTAGGTTGTATCCTAATGCAATCTAAGAGTTTTAGGCTGAGCATGGTGGGCTAGTATATGTGGATTAAGACACATTTGATTTCTAACTGTAAAATACAATTTTCACCATCCTAGGAAAAATAAATTGTAGAGAAATAAGAGTGGAAATGTTCCATTGCAGTTTGCATTTTCTGGCCAGAACTCGCAAGCCAAGAAAAGATAGATAGTGTTTTGCATGGCAGTGGCACTGTAGAGATCAGGATAAGCACCTGAATCAAGAATGGCTCATTCACAGACTGGCTGGCAGCCTGTGAGGTGGTTTAGGGCTAAGGATTCTGTACTTGGATTATACTCCTCTGAAATGTAGACTAAAGGATAAGAAGAGAATTAGAGAATGGGTTGTATGAGAATTGATTAGGGATAGAGAAGAACAGAGACTCAATGTTCTCTAAGGAAAGAGGTACCTGGGTTTCTAATAGTTAGTCATAGATACCCTCTTTCTTCTAAGTAATGTAATCTTTGAGTTTCTCCTTGAATAGCACCAGAATATAACAGGCACATTAATGTCTCAAGATTTAATTCTTATACCACTTTTCACTCACACCAGTCAAGAGTGATAAAGATCTGATCTTTATCACTCACATTTCAGTGGCATAAAACAATTCCTCAATGACTTTACATGTCTATTATGAAGTAGTTAGTATTCTAGTCTTCCCTTCAAGACCAAGAATGATAGAGCACACATTCTCTGGAATATTGTTGACTGCCATGGCAAAAAGCAAAAGAGTTCTAGAAGGTCTTGCATTATCAATTAAATGCTTGCATGCTCACAATTCATTGACAGAATGTGTCAGGTAACTCAACACAAACAGGAGGAGGCCAGGATATACAATTACACTATGCACACAAAAGGAAAGAGGAAGTATTTGGCATACCTACTACCATTCAATCATCTATAACCATGTTTTTAACTGCTGCTTGTGCACCAATATCAAAATTTCTCAGAGTGATGACCACTTTAACTCTGTATCTGTATGTTCAACCACCTAGTAGAATACCACATTTAGATGGTATCATAGATACTCGGGTCTCATATATCATGACAAAGCTTCATTTTTCACACAAAGTTTTTGTATTCTCTCTTGGTCAGTGGCTCCATTATCTATTTACTATCTAAACCCAAAAACCGAGATGTTATCCTTGATTTCTTCTCCTTCTCTTTTAACACCTAATCAATCATCAAGCCATGAATACTTTTCTATAATTTATCCTTACTCTACTAAGTCCAGAACTACCACCCTAATAAACCAACTTATAGATTTCTGCCCAGGCAATTCTATTAGGATTCTGTCTGGTTTTTCTGACTTCATTTCTTCCCCTATAAATTTCAATCATTTGAACATTGTTTCTTAGATTAAATAATGGGCCCACCTTAAAGAAATTTAAAGTTTAAAGAGGAATACAGTGATGTAAACAAAAAATTACAACACAATGGGACAACTGTGGTAATAGCTATGTAGGAATGTAGTGTGGGAGAGAAAATGAAATACCAAGTTGGATGTGATGGATATAGGAAGTAGCATGGGAAGCTTCTACAGAGGAAGTGAAACAAATTAAATGATGAGGGAGCAGGAGCAGAAAAACTGAAGGACACAGCATGTGTGTGGCACCTTGTAGGGACCCTATCTGACTCAGTCAAACTAGAGATGAGGAAGGATGCTAAGGAAAACACCATGAAGGAGTAAGCAGGTGTCTGATCAGCAATAACCCAAAAGTGGTCAGACATTTGGAGAAACACCTCTACGCGAGACCATACTTTTAATTATGGATTCCATCACGTAGTAAACATTTATTGAAAACCTATTTCAGGCACGGAGCTAATCACATTATTTTATTTAGATCTCACAACAGTCTTACAAGTTGTACTATTAGCTTCACTTGGCAGTCTAAAAAGAAACACAGATTCAGGGACTAATGATCAGTTAAACAGCTGCTAATCCTCTTTTGTACAAGAGGTGTTATTTTCCAACCTACGCCGAGTTTGAAGTACCCACAAAAATTCCACCCGGATATGTCCAGAGGCTAAAGGGAGCTGGGGAACACTAATAAAAAAGGGACAATTAAGAACTTAGGAGCCACCTGATATGACTCCTTATCACATGTCCTTTCACGAATCTTTTCCAATGCTTCTAGTACAGTGCCCGGCACTAAATAACAGGACTTCCAGAGTGAGAAGGGACATTCCGTGAAGCGTGGCCCTTTATGCCCAATTTCTGCTCCTAAATAACTAAGTTATTAGCCCCTGGCTGACATAGTTATCTGGAGAAGCAAATCAAGGGGGGAAGGTGGGGTGGAGGACACTTAACAAGTCCTCCTCCTATCAGACACAGAACTCTTCTTCCCTTAGAGGGATGTGAGCTCCACAGAGCTGCCTGCCCGGATCCTAGGTATTGGACACAGATCCCAACAGCTGAGGCCCGGGATCTCAAGTCCGAGAGGAGAAGCGCGCGCCCTGACACACCAGGGAAGGCCGAGAGCGCGCAGCCCCCAGTTCTTGGGTCGGCGTCCTCAGCAGCCACCTCCGCCACCCCAGCCTCCCGCTGGGCGGACGCGGACGCGGACGCGGACGGCGCGGGACTCCTCGACCGGGGAGGAGCGTGCGTCACGGGGGGCGGGGCCAGAACGCGGTCCGTGCCACCCCCGCGCACTGCGCCCCGCCCCCCGCGGCCAGCCCTTTTCGGCCGCGGGGTCCAGAGTTTCCACACTCTTCGGCAGGACATTCGCTCCGCCGCCATCTCCCGCCCTCCTCCCGAGCGGACGCACCGAGTGGAGGCCGGGCGTGCGGGCGCTATGGAGGGCTGCCGCCTGGCGGGCGCCGCGGTGGAGAGGCTGGCCGGCTGAGGGCCCGCGCGGGGGCCGAGGCATGCGGAGTCCCGGCGGGAGCCTACTCCAGGCGCTACCCCGATTCCTGCAGCTCGCCTCCCGTCCGCGCCTCGTCGAGCTGCCGGCCCGCGGGGCCCCGGCGCGGGCGGCGGGCGGGGGCGGCGCGCAGGACCGCCTTCCCCCGGGGGCGGGGCGAGCGCGGCGGCGGCGGCAGCGGCGGCGGCGGCCTCGGGCGCCCTGCTCGGCGCCTATCTGGAGCGCCACGGTGCGCCCGCGGCCTCGGAGTTGCCGGCGCCGGGCGGGGCCTTGGCGGGCGGCCCCGGCGGCGTGGTGGTCGGGGTGGCCGAGGTGAGAAGCTGGCGCTGCTGCTGCCTCGGCAGCACCTGTTGGTGCCGGAGCCTCGTGCTGGTGTGCGTGCTGGCCGCCCTGTGCTTCGCTTCCCTGGCCCTGGTCCGCCGCTACCTGCAGCACCTCCTGCTCTGGGTGGAAAGCCTGGACTCGCTGGTGGGAGTCCTGCTGTTCGTCGTGGGCTTCATCGTGGTCTCCTTCCCCTGTGGCTGGGGCTACATCGTGCTCAACGTGGCCGCTGGCTACCTGTACGGCTTCGTCCTGGGCATGGGTCTGATGGTGGTGGGCGTCCTCATCGGCACCTTCATCGCCCATGTGGTCTGCAAGCGGCTGCTGGCCGCCTGGGTAGCCGCCAGGATCCAGAGCAGCGACAAGCTGAGCGCCGTTATTCGCGTCGTGGAGGGAGGAAGCGGCCTGAAGGTGGTGGCTCTGGCCAGACTGACCCCCATCCCCTTTGGCCTTCAGAATGCAGTGTTTTCGGTAAGTGATGCCCTGTTGGCCTTTCCCTGTCCAAGTCTGCGCTGGAGCTGTCTTGTGACCGCCCTGGGAGGGCGCCTCATCAGATAAGTAACCAGCGGAGACGTGACATTGACACAGGACTTCGGATTAGTTACTTTCCATACTACCCTGAGAAATTTACCCTACAAATAAATCCCAGCCGGGTTCTCAGTAGGAGATCCGACTAAAGAAATGTGAGTTTGGTTAAAAATGGAGAGTCCTTTTAACTTGGAGAGAGAGAGATGTGAATGAAAATTATAGTCTTTTTTTCCGTAGCAGCTTGGGCAGCAGTTGGGGAACAAGGCTTTACAGCCCTAGCTTTCTTCTTTTTTGCCTGCCTAAGTGCATCCAGCCTTTTGATTTAGAATTTTAGCGACGCGGGGCTGAAGGGCGTTTTTCAATAAACAGACTGTAGACTCCAGATTTTGGAGTCTCCTACATTTATAATAGGCCTTTTTTCGTCAAGTAATTTTACAGTAATACTATGTAAAGGAGAAAGTTCTGTTTATCTTTTTTTGGAGGAAATGTATTCCGAAATTACTGGGTGGTGTATAAAACAAAGCAGGACAAATAACTTTTTTGCTCAACTGGCATCTGTTTGTCTTCATTTTTATGCAGCTTCTAGATTCTTTTTGGTCCTTGAATGTATATATTATGCTTACTAGGTTTCCACAGCTGGTGTGCGTCTTTGCTTTAGTGTAGGAACATTGTTAGTGAGGACAACATCTGAATGGAAGAAAGGATTCTGGTCTTTACAAACTTAGGGGTTTAGGAACAAGTTACTAAGTCTGTCTGATTTCATTTTCCTCTTTTCTAAAGTGAAGGGGCTAAACTAGATTACTGGGGCTCCCAAGTCCAGTGACTAAACTACAGAGTTCATGTGGAGATTCCTAAGAACACAACCCTTCAACTGAAAGAAAACTGTATCCAAGTGAAGAGATACAACAGTAGTTTTGTATGGTCTCATCTTTTAAACTTCCATGTTTACACATCCCCCTATAATGTGGAATAGAAACATGAACCTTGACCCAACTTCATAATAATCACCTGTCCTAAGACTTTGAAAGATGGTTGTCACTAAGGAACTTGTATAGATTAATTCTGATAGTTCATTTTGTCCTCCAGTATAATGTGTATCGTTGTGCCTTTTCTTGTTCACCTACTATGTGCCAACTACTATCCTAGGCTCATACCATACACTATTAGTAAACCTTAAACCAGACTTCAGGGCTGGACCAAGTGACTCACATCTGTAATCCCAGATACTTGAAAGGCAGAGATAAGAGGATCAGGATTTGAGGCCAGCTGGGGCAAAAGTTGGCAAGACCCTATGTCAAAAACAAGCCAGCTGTGGTGGCACATGGCTGTGTCCCAGCTACTTGGGAAGCAGAGGTGGGTAGATCAAGGTCCAAGGCCAGCTTGGGCAAAAGCATGAGCCCTTACTTGAAAAACAAATGAAAGCAAAGTAGTATGTTTCAAGTGATAGAGCAAGGCCCTGACTTCAAACCCAGTACTGCCAAAAGTAAAACAAAACAACTAAGAAATAGCTCTGTAGACTAGCAGATGGTTTTCTACTAGTTAGCAGCACAGGGTTGGTGCTGTGGGAGCCCTGTTGTCTTAGAATTTGGTGCCCTTGTTCCATTTGCACATTCTGTTTGTCTTCAGTTTCTGTTGTAAATTGGGGAAAGTAGTGGTAACTTCTTGGTAGGTTTATTAAGAAGTCTATATAAGATGAATACATGCAAAAGTCTGGCTTACCAAAAATATCCTGTTGGCTTTTGTTGCCCTTTCTGTTGTTACTACTTAGGGTCACCTGGAGAGGAAATAATGCAGTCAAACTCTGATCTGTGGCCTGGTGTTAGGGTCTCAACCCATGGCTCTCTATTCATGGAATATTTGTTTGGTGCCTGCTGTAGTCATGGGTATATAGTAGAGATTTCTATTCATTGTTTGGCAGTAAGTAAGTTTTTCTTTTGATAGTACCTCATATACTAAATATATAAGAAGTTGTACTTTGTACTTGGAATTTAAGATACTCCTGTAGTTGAAACTGAGCTTGAGAAGGGGCAGGCGACTTTGATTTGGGCATCATGGGGTCAGGAGAAAAGGAGGAAAAGAAAAAGAAAAACACCTATTGAAGTAGGCATTAGTGTCACTATTTTTCTAAGAAAGAATTGGAGACTTACCTATCCAGAAACTTGTACAGTCACTCACCTACCAAGTGGCAGAGTTGAGATTTGAACCAAGAATCAGCTGTAGAGCATTTCTAATTGTACTGTTCCTGCTCAGAGCCATAAGTAGAGTGAGTTGTGAAGCCGCTGGATATTACATTGTTTTCATCCTGTTATTCTGATCTGTCTGCTAACAGAAGTGGCTCTTTAAACCAAAACAGTTTCCAATGAGAAAAAAAGAAAGGGTAGTTTAGGCAGAGGTTAGTTTTAGTCTGACTTTGCTTTTTGCCTTCTAGAACTTCATTCCTTCACCCTTCACCTTAATACCCCTCTGAGGCCCACAGCTTCCCTCCCTGCCTTTGAAATAATCCTTTTGTTTTGTTTTCAGATTCGTTAAAGCTCATTTTCTCAATGCCCATGATTTTAAAAATTACCTTAAAGAGGAAGTTAGGTATTAGTGGTTATAAGAAGCATAGTCTTTGGAAATAGTCCTTATTTGGCCCCTGCTGTGTGACCTCCATGTTTCCTCATTTGTAAAATATGGTAGAGTGTTAAATGAGCTAATGCAATGAAGGCATTATTAGCCTGGTATCGTCACTTTGTACTAATTGCTAGCTACTGGTTTTATTAGTGGTGGAGGTACTTGTATTTACATATTAAAGTCAGGAGCTGATTGTAAAAGATGAATATGTAGAAGGAAAGGAGCTTTTCTTATCTATTTTTGTTTGTTTTTTGGTTTTGGTGGTACTAGTGGTTGAACTCAGGACCTCATGATTGCTAGGCAGGTGTACCCCTAGCCCATTCTTACCTATTCTTAACTATAATTCTTTCCTTCTCCCATGTGTGCTAGGAAGGGATTAAACAAGCTGACACTCCACTTCTGAAACTCTCAAAATAGAAAATATTACTTTATAGTATTAGTTCTTAAGCCGTAAAAAGTATAATTCAAGTACATATTTAAGTTTTTCCCTTTTAAAAAAATGTACTCTGGGAAATAAAGCTTTTTTTTTCTTAATGTTTAATGAAATCTTTTATCTCAAGATTTTAAGACCAGTAAATCTTGCTGCTCATTAAAACAGGTTGCTACTGTTCTTATCTGGACACATCTAAGATGACCATTACTGCTCTCTTACTAGATTAGTCAAAATAGGCCAAATTACATGGCTAAAAAGCAAAGGTTTATTTTTTTCTGCTTGACATGAGTGCCTGTCAAACTTTGTTTGGGGAAAGGGTCCTCTGTTTTATGTCATTTTTAGTCTGGGATTCAGGCTGACAAAGCCACCAGCTTGCACTTGGTTATGGTGAATAGTGACTAGTATTATGGCTTTTAAAATTTCCAGCTATAAGTAATCTCACTTCTTACTGGCCTGAACAAATTACGTTGCCACAAGTAACCTCAAAGGGGTGATGGGTGTGACAGGAAGGAGAGAGAACTGGAGCATGGTGCAGACTTAATGACTGGGACTTGACAACTGCTCTTTCATCCCCCATGTGTAGTCATTGCTTAAGCCCTGTGGATTCTGCCTCCTGACTTCAGTCCAATCCACTACCACTGCTGTTGTTCAGGTGTCTTAACATCCCACTAGGTCTCCCTGTTCTTCCAGCCCCAGGTTTTCTTACCTTTACCCAAAAAAGAACTTTCTAAAATGCACATAGGATCTTCAAATGAGTTTTCTTTTCCCCTTAGGATAAGTTTTATTTACTCTTGGACTTCCCTTGATAGCATCTCTCTTGCCAACCCATGATTAATTGCTGTATGCTCTTTGATGTGCTAATTTATTTGATCCCCAGCATCCTGAGATAGACATATTTTTTAAACATTGCAAGTGAAAATTCTGTCTGTAGCCTTGAAACTTCAGGCTTTGTTTTTTTATAAATTTCTGAAAAAAGGAACTCTGGATCCATAAGGGATTGTTGACACACGTGTAGAAGATGAAGTCCTTAAAGAGTAAAGCCATCTAGAAGAAGTCTGTTGATAATAGCTAAAAATTGACAACATTGACAAGCATAACATCTCATCCTGTATTTAGTAAGCATTAACATGTCCTTGTGAGGTCCACTCTATGATGTTCTTAGACATCTACATTTTAATGTTACTTCTAGTAAAATATTGTCTTTGATCCCAATATATTACTGGTTTTTATGGGTGACAAAATTCATACTAGTGCTTGTAATTTCCAAAGGAGTCTGATGTTATTGTTGTTAGGTTGCTTGATAGGAGATCCTAAACATCTTTCTCTTGACTTTGGTTAAAGAAAAATTCAAAAATTCCAAAGATTCTGGTTGGTTCCTTCTCTTAAAAAATCTGCATGGAAATTTGTTTTCAGTCACCCTTAAATCTTCAAAATCTAAAATAAAAAACTAAAGGATAATATGAAAGATGCTCTTATTACCAATTGCAGAGCTAGGGATAGTACATAAGTGATAACTCTCTGGTTTTCGCTTAAGAGTGGGTGTCGCTTAAGAGGCAGACTTGTAGACAGATATTACAAACTTGAACTCTTAGACTTGATTCTAACATTTCCTTTGTCATCTTGTGTAGATATGGTTACTCTTTTGGGCCATACTTTCTGTTGTACATTGTGTTTCATAATGCCTGCTGTAACGCTGTGGTACAACACACTTTGCTCATCATTTATTTACTATTTCCATCCTCTGTATTCCAAAATGAGAACATTGGAGTTCAGTTTTTTAAGAATTTAACAAATATCTTTATTGCCCATTCTAAGTATTAGGCACTGTTGTCTTATGCATGTATCACTTATTTAATGCTCATATCAACCTTAATCCTCATAGTTTGAGGCAGTTGAG